TACCACGATGGCCGCCTGTTGGGGCATCGTGACACTTATACATGATGCGTAATCGCAAATCATGATGAGTGGGGACGACGACACGAGACCTGACGCAGTCAACGGCTGTATAATATAACAATCCGTTGCGTGTACTATGCCGATCCGATGAGGATCGGTACAAAGCCGGTAAATTCTTCAATGATTTACTGGATGGATGCACCAGATGATCCATCAATCGCAGAAAATGCTTATCTTCCGCGTATGCCTTTCGTACGTCGTCAAGTTTACTTGACGACGGGACACTGACTGACAGTGTCGCAACAGTGGGCTTATCCTCACTGTTGACTCGGGTCGTAGGCTCGAAATCGGGCCGGCGCGAGAGCGCATCAGCGACGACGTTTAGTCGTCCTAGCTTGTACTCCACGGAGAAGTTATACTCCGCGAAGAAAGACAGCCACCTCGCCATCCTTTGCGACAGGTGTGGGCTGTTTACGGCCGTTCGTAATGACACATGGTCCGTATAGACGATGAACGGTCTATCTCCCAATAGATAGACCCGGAACTTAGCCAGTGCGTACTTCATGGCAAGGAGTTCCGTGTCATGCACTGGGTAATTGCGCTCAGCTGCTTGCAGCTGACGCGACTGATAACAGATGACGCGCTCCGCGCCATCCGAGTCGAACTGCATTAACGCACAGCCGATTGCAAAATCGCTGGCGTCACAGACCACATGAAATGGTCTGTCCTGATCTGCAATCGCCAAGATCTGCAATTGTATCAAGCTTTGGTTGATACCCTCAAAGTAACGCTGGCACTCAGCGTTCCATGACCACCTCACATTTTTCTTGAGTAACCAAGAAATATGTACCGTCATCTCGGCGTAGTTGCGCGAGTACTTGTGCAAGTACGCCTCTAGCCCAAGGAACTTCCTTAGTCCCTTGACATCGACTGGCACAGGCCAGTCGGTGATTGCCTTGATCTTTTCGGGATCAGGGCGTACGCCGTGTTTACCCACGATGCACCCAAGAAGTGGTATTTCGCTAGCCGCGAATATACACTTCTTGAGGTTTGCGTACAACTTATTCTTGCGCATAAGTTGAAGAACCTGAACAACGTGAGTTCTGTGAACTTCAACGTCCGTCTTTCCGTCCATAGCCCGGCTATGGACGAACACATCGTCGAAGTAACTCGGTGCGAAGTCCCGCACCGGTCTCAACAGATTTGTGACACATCTGTTGAATGTTGCAGGGGCATTGCTCAGCCCCTGTGGCATCACTAGCCACTCCCACAACATACCGCTGGGGGTGCTCACTGCTGTGTACGGGATGTACCGTTCACGCATGAGGATCTGATAGAATCCATCCATCAGATCCATGGAAGAAAATATGGTGCTCTTTGACATACCATCTATGATTACGTCCTTCCTTGGTATCGGCGTCTGATCCGGTACCGTTGCAGCATTCAATTTGTTTAATGCGTGAACTATCCGCCACCCTCCTGTGGCCTTTCGCACACAGAAGGTCGGAGAGCTGTGAGGGGATGTTGATTCCCTCACATGGCCCGTTGCTAAGCTGTCGGCAAAGAACTTGTCGATCGCTAGTACTTGTTCACGAGGAAGTGGCCCCTGCTTCATGACAAAGTACTTTGAGCCCGGTTTGAGCTCGATCTCGTGTCGAGTGCCTTTGTCCTTAGGCAACTCGCAAGGCACGGATTCAGGGAATACATCCTTGAATTCGATCAAATCCTTATAAAAAGGATTTGCCTGAAGCGACTCCCAGGATTGAGACGTGTATCGCTCAATCCGAGTCTTCTCATCGAGGACACTTTCGTCCATCGATGAGCTGCTGAGAACCCGTTCGTTCTCATTAAATACTGTTGCCGACCGAATATCGGCCACATACTCATCCTCTGTGACGAGTATGCAGATCTGCTTGGCTTTGCCACTACGCAGATCACGCAATAACCGCTTCGGTTCCAGCGTCGGCAATTAAGTTATTTCGGAAGTGAGTTTTGGAGGCACAACCAAATCAAGCGTGTAAGCGCCTACGCTTGATCCATCATTGACCAAGACGTTCAGCGTCTCGGTTTCTTTCTGGGAAGTTACATCCACTGGATCTGGGAGCTTTCTCCACAATGTAGTGGTCTTCTACATTGTGTTCTTGTACAGTCGTGCTAACGACCGTACCACAAGTGAGTCCATCGCTCACTCGTAGTACACCCACATGAGTGTGGGCGTTCCAAAATTTTCGTCAGGTGGTTAACTGAGGAACAAGTAGCAGGCATCATCACGGATCGATGCTGCCAGCTCACCCTTGGCTCGTACTTTCTGAGCCAAGTCAACCCCAAGATGACGTCGAACTTGTCATCTGGGTCAAGCACGATGAAATCATCACCGCATTGTTCGCCCTCTAACGTGTAGTGGATTCCTACTACACGTTTCTCAACGGTTCTCGATGCGCCTGTTGCTAGGCGCACCGTCATCTTCGTTGGAGAGATCTCCCGCTCCACGAAGTTAAAACCTCCTGTCTCTAATGACTGGCGACGAACAAAATTGTTCGACGCCCCACAGTCAACTAGGGCGCGAAGTGACAAGTCTTTCGTCACTTCCAACTTCAAGGTGATGAGTAATATCTCATCGCCAGGTGCAGAGACACAAAGAAATTGTGTGTCGGGAGCAACCTTCTTTAGGAGATTTGCAAATTCTCTTGATGTTGCTGTATCAGTAGGGCGCACCGCCCCTACTGATACCGACCGTTTTTGATGGCCCACCTTGCTGTTGCAGTTTCACAACAGAAATAAACTCTCGCCCTCCAGTTCTTCTTGCTGGTGGGTGAACACTGCGCTCAGCACCGCGAGGTTATGAGCGGGGGATACTGCATTCATATGCGTAGTGTCCCAGTTTTATACAGTGATGGCATCATACCATTTGCTTGTCGTTCATAGGGCGAGGTTTCTCGCCCTCGACTTGACAGAGGTCCATTGGTTCTGGACCTCCAACAGCTTATCATCTCTGTGGACGATGCGGGGTCAACGTAGCGTGAGACTTTCTCACACTATAATCTTCATTCTCCACTGCGACGATTGCCTCTGAGAGCGTCTTTAGCTCTCCGCGGAACAAGTGGTCCCTAACGGGACCGTCTGAAATCCCTTACATGAAGATTGTGATCAATACAAACTCATTTACAGGGTTCACTACCATGCAGCTTGCAAGGTAGCGTACATGTTGGGCGTAAGCGTGAACCTTACGCTTATCCTGCTTGATTTGTAGGAGCTCTGAAAGAGTCCTGAACAATGCTCTGGGCGGCTCGAACGTCTCACTGAGCAGGGTCTTGAAGATCCTCAACGACCCAAAAACATTTGGGTCGTGCAACTTGAGGTTCAGGGCCCAAGATCTGGCTTCTCCTACCAGTTTAGACTGAGCGAATGAGGCTTGCATTCGCTCATCATCGATGCAATGATCATCGATGGCATCGTCCATCTCGACGAACCACATCAACAGGGAGTCTTCCTCGACTCGCTGATACGTGAAGACCTCTAGTTTTTTTAGAGACTCCCGTCGACGCTCACGCGCCGGCTCTGTGGACTGAGACTGTTGTTGTCTCAGTGCTTCGGTCCGCTGGTGATCTTGTTGTTGTAACAAGGTCACCTGCGCTCGCGACTCACCAAGTTCTCGTTGCAAGAACTTGCTAATGACGGCATGTTGCTGGTCCCTATCCCTTGAGGATAGCATGGCCTAAATGGATTCCTCGCCAACGGTCGAACTCATTCGTTCGATCGCACTCCATTCGATGTCACTCAAAAAGGAGTAGCTCTCACGGGTTCCGTGAAAGCTGTCGCCGTCTACGTCGTCCAACATGTTCATGTAAGTCGATCGGGTTGTGGTCCTTGGACGGACTACAAAGTGCTACCAGGTGTGACGGGGCACTGTTGACTACGTGCTGGATGGCCAGTACGGAGTATACTTCCACTGACGACAGTGGTCGACAGTGCCCTGCTAGGTGTTTTAACGAAACACAGAGGAAGTAAAGGAGACTAAGTAGTCAGACTAGTCTCTGGTAAAAGTGAAACTGTATTAATATAATTAAGTCCTATAACTCCTTGAATCTCTGTTGCCCTGACTTAATTATACTAATATAGCTATATGTATGATGACGTCTACTCACCATCCATTGCGCGCGTCTAGCAGCGATTGGTGGGTTGATATCATCTCGATATCAACCATTGAGTAGACCCTTCGGTCATCTCAACAATATCACCATGTCTTGTGATATTGTTGATATAATATTCAACCTAATATTCTTTATTGTCTGATTGCTCAAATGACAATCTCATGTAACGGGCTACCCCGTTATAGGAAACAAATCTGACTTCCGCAGGTATTGTGGAAAGCTTACGTCTAATGGCAAGTAAATATTGCGCTATTAAGCCAATGTACATTGGGTGGCTAAACTTCATTGTCATGTACGAGAACAACACGTAAATCTACTACTCACGCAACGTACTGGATATCTCAATGGGAAAACAAATGACATCAGAGGTGGATGATTTATTGGAATCAATGTGGCAGATTTCTATATTGAAACCACTCGCGGCTCGGATGGTACATTATCGGTATGAGAAGAACAAAAAAGCATACACATTGCTAAACATCGTGCTGCTGGGATTAAAGGTCGAACCCGCTACAGCTCTCAATGATCATAACAACGAGAAGATGAGTTTAATTAATTTAGTTCACTGACTTACATTCTCTGACGTATATAGGGCCAAACACGAATTAGCTTGGTATACGTACGAAAAAGCAGTACGCAATATAATAACAGGTTTCTCTTCACTCCCACCAACGCGGAAATCGCTTTTGTATTAGGAGCTGAAAAATACGTCGGAGACGGAAAAGATTGAGAAGGAGGATACTGCGCAAAATAAGTATATGGATAAGATACTCTAACGAATAAAAGAGTGTCTGACCGATCGACCGACCGACTAAATTAATCGGTTGACTGCTTATGATTCCAACCGCCATGAAAAGCAACGCCCTGTCCGGTAACTTTGGCTCGCAAGTCTTTCGCGAGCGCTGGGGCGACTGCCGCCTCGAAGCAGACCTGGAAGACTCTTTGCTCCCGCTCTACCGCTCCCAGCGCGATTTATCACGGCTGCCCGTGCTGCCCCTCGCCCACACAGTCGCGTTGTGCCCCTCGACGCGCTCGACGCTCGTGCATTCCTCGACGAACGCAGGATTCGTACCTGATTTACCACCTTGCGACGCACACGAATGCTGTAGTCATGCGTCGCAATCGTCTCCTTCAGTTGGAGCTCGTGGAGCCGCGTTCGCGACAAGTGCTGATTTTTGAGGCGCTGTGCTTTCAGTTGGGTCGGATACTGGACGCTGCCGAAGCTGCCGAGACGGCAGTGGGTGTGCTGACAACGCAGGACCGAGACACGTGGGCAGATGCCCGCCAGAAATCGATTCGAGCATCGTCGATGAACGAGGAGTCGTTGCGGATCATTGAGAGCTCGTTACTGATACTCAAACTCGACTAAAAAGCGCCCGTGACGCGCAATGAAGTGGCGCGTGGTCTGCGGCATGGCAATGGACGCAACCGCGTCTTTGACAAGTGCGTGCAGATTGTCGTGTTTGAGACAGGTCAGATTGGGCTGGTAGGGGAACACTCAATGCTCGATGGTATGCCCATGGCACTCTACGCAAATTGGTGTTTTCGCGTCTGCATCATGGACAGATCGACTTGGGTCGCCGTGGTCCAACGACCTCAAAGCTGACAGGAACCTCCGAGACGGATTACGTTATGCTTGACGGATGAGACTCGACGTTGCATGGCGATGCAGAAGCGAAATTTGACAAGATGATGATTGACCACGAAGTCTGTGTGCTGGCCAGTCACGGCTACGTTCCGCGCGTGACCGAGGGAATCGATGCAGTCCGGATGATTTTGTCCAGCTTGCCATACAACTCACGTATAAGAAGCTGTGTAAAAAGAGCGTTGAAACTGGGCAGCCCGTTACATGGAAATTGTCATTTGAAGAGATAATGACAATTAATTATATTACGTTGAATTTTCTCTTAACAATATCACCAAAGGGGTGATATTGAAGGGTAGACCAAAGAGTCTGTTCGTTGGTTGATATCAAGATGATATCAACTCACCAATCGCCGCAAGACGCGCGCAAAGAGTGGTGACGAGACGTCACCATACACTCAGTTATATTAGCATAATTAAGTTAAGTCAAACAGAGAGACAGTGGTTAAAAGACTTAATTATATTAATATAACAGTTCTGCTTTTACCTTACCTACGCTTCCTTGATTGCCTTGTGTACGTCTGTCCGGCGCACCGGAACCCTTGCGTTAAGTTCACGCAAGGGTGTGCCCCGTTACACCTGGTAGCACTTCGTAGTCCTTCCAAGGACCACAGCACCCAACATGAACATGTTGAATGATGAGGAGACCTTTCACGCCACGCGTGAAGGGTTTACCCATTTGAGTGACATCGAATGGGGTGCGGTAGAACGAATGAGTTCTAATGTAGGCGAGTTCGCCATTAGCGCCATGTTGGAGTCTCTCAACAGAGACCAACAACATGCCACTATAGCCAAGTTCATTCAAAATGAACTTGTCGCCGAAAAGGAGAAAGTAGCCTTGCTTCACCAGCAAGGCTCTCAACAGGCCGAGTAGTTGAGAGAACTCGGTGCTCAACAGACAGAGCTGTTGATACAGTAGCAATTCCATGCTGCTGTGGGCGGGACGGCGCATGCGCGTCGTCCCGCGGTCATGAAAGTTGACATCTCCAAGTACAGTGGAGTCCCGGAGGACTTCCTGTTACTATGGTTTGTCGAACTCGACAGAGCCTTAAGGGCTCGTCGCGTCGAAGATGATCAAATGAAACTCACATTTGCTCAGACCCACTTGGCAGGGCAAGCCAAAACTTGGTCCCTGGGACTCGAGAGTAGCGACCCAAACGTATTTGGGTCGCTAGATGACTTCAAGTCCGGGCTCAGACAAACGTTTGAGCCGCCACGGGCTGAGTTCAGGGTTCGTTCTGAGCTCCTGAAACTCAAGCAGGGTAAGCGTGATGTGCACGCTTACGCACAACATATACGACTCCTAGCGAGTAGTATAACTGCCAACCCAGTCCATGAACACACGTTGATTACGGTGTTCATGCAAAGGCTAGCAGAAGGGCCCGTCAGGAGCCACCTGTTCCTCCTTGAGCTGAATACGCTTGAAGAAGCGATATTAGCCGCGTAACAGGAAGACTTTAGCATGAGACAGGCTCATGCTAGCTCAAACTCTTACCGTCCACCAAGACGACAAGAGATCGGAGGTCCAGAACCAATGGACCTCTGCTATGTTGAGAGCGAGAGACCTCTCTCTTCGAACAACAAGCGATTGCATAGGTGCAATCGCTGTCAGAAGTCAGGGCACTACGCATATGAGTGTAGTGCCCCACGCCCAGTACCAAACAGTACTGAGCGAAATGGACGACCATTTGCCAGAAAGGGCAATGGGCGTGGGTCCAGCGCTGTTGCCAGGCCGCAACAGCGAGACGGACCATCAAAAAATGGTCGGGGTCAGTAGGGGCGGAGCGCCCTACTGATCCATCAACCTCAAGAGAATTTGCAAATCTCTTGACGAAAGTTGATCCAGGTACACAATCATTGTGTGTCTCTGCACCTGGTGATGAGATATTACTCATCACCTTGAAGTTGGAAGCGACAAATGATTTGTCGCGTCGTGCCCTAGTAGACTGTGGGGCGTCGAACAACTTTGTTCGTCGCCAGTCACTAGAGGGTCGTAGGCTCAAGTTCGTTGAGCGCGACATTCCCCTCACAAGGATGACGGTGCGCCTTGCAACAGGCGCATCGATAACCGTTGAGAAACGTGTAGTAAGAATCCACTACACGTTGGAGGGCGAACAGTACGATGATGACTTCATCGTACTAGATCTGGATGACAAATTTGATGTCATCCTGGGATTACCTTGGCTCAGAAAGTACGAGCCAATAGTGAGCTGGCAGCATCGATCCGTGAAGATGCCTGCCGCTTGTTCATCAGATGGCCATATGATGAACATCTTGGAGCGTCCGCAAGCGTGTGGATGTTCTGCGAGTGGGTGCGATGGCCTCACTTACTATTCGGTCGTTAGCACGACTGCACAAGATCACAGTGTAGTTGATCACTACACTGTGGAGCAAGCTCCCGGCGGCTGTACAGAAGAACAGGCGGCGCCGAAGGTCCACCACTCGAATAAGTCGAGTGGACCGGGACATGGATACATGCCTAGCGGCAGCATCTTCGACAAAATAAACCTGTTGCCTTCAAAGGGCAACATAGAATTCCTAGGTCGACTGGAGAGTCGACCGTAGAGGATCGGGGTGCCTGACTGTGGTTGCACAGCCACAGTCGGAATACGTCGAGGGAATAAGTCCCCACGTACTTGAGGAAGGAATTCCTCAAGAGTCACTTGCTGAAGGATTAGGACTTCAGCAACCTTTGGAAGCAAGTTCCCAGGAAGAAACCGAGACGTTGAACGTCTTAGGCAATGACGGATCAAGCGTAGGCGCTTATACGCTTGATCTGATTGTGCCTCCAAAACTCACTTCCTAAATAACCTAATTGCCGACGCTGGAACCGAAGCGGTTATTGCGTGATCTGCGTAGTGGCAAAGCCAAGCAGATCTGCATACTCGTCACAGAGGATGAGTATGTGGCCGATATTCGGTCGGCAACAGTATTTACTGAGAACGAACGGGTTCTCAGCAGCTCATCGATGGACGAAAGTGTCCTCGATGAGAAGACTCGGATTGAGCGATACACGTCTCAATCCTGGGAGTCGCTTCAGGCAAATCCTTTTTATAAGGATTTGATCGAATTCAAGGATGTGTTCCCTGAATCCGTGCCTTGCGAGTTGCCTAAGGACAAAGGCACTCGACACGAGATCGAGCTCAAACCGGGCTCAAAGTACTTTGTCATGAAGCAGTGGCCACTTCCTCGTGAACAAGTACTAGCGTTCGACAAGTTCTTTGCCGATCGCTTAGCAACGGGCCATGTGAGGGAATCAACATCCCCTCACAGCTCTCCGACCTTCTGTGTGCGAAAGGCCACAGGAGGGTGGCGGATAGTTCACGCATTAAACAAATTGAATGCTGCAACGGTACCGGATCAGACGCCGATACCGAGGAAGGACGTAATCATAGATGGTATGTCAAAGAGCACCATATTTTCTTCCATGGATCTGATGGATGGATTCTATCAGATCCTCATGCGTGAACGGTACATCCCGTACACAGCAGTGAGCACCCCCAGCGGTATGTTGTGGGAGTGGCTAGTGATGCCACAGGGGCTGAGCAATGCCCCTGCAACGTTCAACAGATGTGTCACAAATCTGTTGAGACCGGTGCGGGACTTCGCACCGAGTTACTTCGACGATGTGTTTGTCCATAGCCGGGCTATGGACGGAAAGACGGACGTTGAAGTTCACAGAACTCACGTTGTTCAGGTTCTTCAACTTATGCGCAAGAATAAGTTGTACGCAAACCTCAAGAAGTGTATATTCGCGGCTAGCGAAATACCACTTCTTGGGTGCATCGTGGGTAAACACGGCGTACGCCCTGATCCCGAAAAGATCAAGGCAATCACCGACTGGCCTGTGCCAGTCGATGTCAAGGGACTAAGGAAGTTCCTTGGGCTAGAGGCGTACTTGCACAAGTACTCGCGCAACTACGCCGAGATGACGGTACATATTTCTTGGTTACTCAAGAAAAATGTGAAGTGGTCATGGAACGCTGAGTGCCAGCGTTACTTTGAGGGTATCAACCAAAGCTTGATGCAATTGCAGATCTTGGCGATTGCAGATCAGGACAGACCATTTCATGTGGTCTGTGACGCCAGCGATTTTGCAATCGGCTGTGCGTTAATGCAGTTCGACTCGGATGGCGCGGAGCGCGTCATCTGTTATCAGTCGCGTCAGCCGCAAGCAGCTGAGCGCAATTACCCAGTGCATGACACGGAACTCCTTGCCATGAAGTACGCACTGGCTAAGTTCCGGGTCTATCTATTGGGAGATAGACCGTTCATCGTCTATACGGACCATGTGTCATTACGAACGGCCGTAAACAGCCCACACCTGTCGCAAAGGATGGCGAGGTGGCTGTCTTTCTTCGCGGAGTATAACTTCTCCGTGGAGTACAAGCTAGGACGACTAAACGTCGTCGCTGATGCGCTCTCGCGCCGGCCCGATTTCGAGCCTACGACCCGAGTCAACAGTGAGGATAAGCCCACTGTTGCGACACTGTCAGTCAGTGTCCCGTCGTCAAGTAAACTTGACGACGTACGAAAGGCATACGCGGAAGATAAGCATTTTCTGCGATTGATGGATCATCTGGTGCATCCATCCAGTAAATCATTGAAGAATTTACCGGCTTTGTACCGATCCTCATCGGATCGGCATAGTACACGCAACGGATTGTTATATTATACAGCCGTTGACTGCGTCAGGTCTCGTGTCGTCGTCCCCACTCATCATGA